TGTCGCGCCCTCTGCTCCGTCTGCCTGTTCTGCTCCCTGCTCTGACTCTGGTGAACTCTCTCACTGTCCAGCTCCTCTGGTCTGTACCCCAGCTCTTGTATAAATAAATAAATCTTTGGGCCTCCCCTGTTGGTGCAGGCTGTCTGCAGCCTGCAATGCTGGCTCGGCGAGGGACCCACATGGCATGGCAGACCTCTCCTGCCTCCCCTGCTGCTCCCCTCAGCAGTGTATTTCATCAGTCTGCCTGTTCTGTTCCCCACTCTGTCTCTGTGAATCCTCTCACTCTCCCGTGCATCTGGCCTATACCCCGGTTCTTGTATAAAATAAATAAATAAATCTTTAAAAATAAATAAATCTTAAATTTTTTTTTTAGCTTCCCGCTCTTGCCCCCTAACAATGTTAGCTGTCTCTTTTCCAATCATATTTGACCTTTCTCTGTTTAAACCCTATCTCCTGTCCTCACCTCTCTCCCACCATTTGAGAGAGCGCCGAATCCTAACCACTAGACCACCAGGGAACCTATCTCTCCCACCATTTGAATCACCAGTGTTTGCCCCTCCCTGTGGCATTTTACACCTCTGAGCCTCCGCACATGCTGTTCCCTCCCTGCTGGTATTCACATTCTGAACGTGGAGAACTCCTATTCAGCCTGCGCTGCCCAGTAATCTCATCACCCCTCTTGACCCCCAGGCTTCAGAAGCTAGTTGTCTGCGATTCTGGGGTCAGTTTCCTTTCTCTGGTGGTGGGCACCGTGTGGTGAAGGGTGAATGAGTTAAAAATCAGGTTTTCTCCGCCCTCCCGCCATGAGCATCCATGACCAGCACCTGTAATGATGCACACCTGGGTCTGAAGAGCAGCGGGCATGCGCACAGGAGGCAAGGGGGCTATACGGGCGGAGTCACTCGGAGCCGGGAGAGTAAAGGGGGGTGGCCAGGCAGGGGAATGCTGAGAGTCAAGGCTGCTTCAGCGTTAAAGGCCTTTGAAAATCGACTGAAGTCTCCAAAATTATCTTTCACCTGGGAGGACTGACGATGAATCTACCCAGCCAGGAAAGGTTGCAAAACACGGTAAGACATATCTGAAGAGGTGGTGGTAGGGGGAAAGGATGTCCTAAGGCTAAGTCCATGCAGGCTTTGTGGACTCCACCCCCACCCCAGGCCAAAGCCAAAGCCACTGGGAACTCCAAATCCCGTCACCACCCAAGGGAAGGTGGCTGGGACCTGAGGGTGGGGTTCAGCAGCCGGGTTGGTATAAAGCCAGACACGTGGGCTTTGGAGGGGCCCCCCATTTTGGCTCTCCACCAGCTCGCAGCGTCCGGCCAGCTCTGAGAGTGCCTTTGGGTTTCCAGGTCGGCGGATCGGGTAGGACGCATTAATTTTCTCCCTGAGTTGTCCATTTTCCTTATTTCCTTTCCCTTGTAAATAAACCTTGTATTAACCTTTTGTGTGTGCCTGCAGTGGAGTATTCATAAGTCCCTTTTGAGCGCGCGGGTGAGGACCCACAGCCAGGAACCCGTTCAATATCGGGGCTGCCCTATAACAGTGTGAACCTGTACATGGATAAAAACCATGTTACCTGGATAAAAATAATACGATAAAAAAAATTAACCAAGAGGCCCCTTCAGGTCCCCCACCACCTTCTGAGCCATCCCGAAGCCCAAGTCCCGGCCAAGTGGCGGGGCGGCCCTGGTGCTCCATGCCTTGGTGCTCTGTCGCCCTCTTGTGCCCAGCCGCAGGCCCGCATGGAAAACCGTGCCTGGAAAGTTCTAAGGAACAGAACTGGCGATTGTCCATCTGTCACTCCATCCCCCAAGTCGCTCTCAGCCTTCCTCCTCCCGCTCCGGACCCAAGAGGCTGCCCTGGGCGGGCGCCACCCGCGAGGCTCACCCTGCGGGTTTCTGTTTGGGAACTGGAAGCCCTGACAGGAACTCGGAGGGCGGGAGGAGAGAGGTGGGAGCAGGGATCACCCTCCCCTGCCCTGCAGGACTGGCTCCCCAGCAAGGGAGCCAGCTCCAGGGGCTTCTCTCCAGACCTCCCCTGAGGATGATGAAAGCTTAGTTCTCACCCTGGAGCCACCTCATCCTTGGGGGTTTCCCACCCTGCGCTCATCCTTCATCCTTGGGGGTTTCCCACCCTGCGCTCATCCTTGGGGGTTTCCCACCCTGCGCGCCCCTCCAAAATGCTCCCACTGAAACTCCCCAAGGGGCTACAAGTTACCGGAAGCCTGTCTCACAATCACAGCATACATTTAGGATAAAACCAGGAGAGTGGGGAACTTTCGCCAGTCTGTGGGGTCCCCAGAATTTCTTTTCTTTTTTTTTTTTTAAAGATTTGTTTATTTATTTATACAAGCACTGGGTACAGTCAGATGCGCGGGAGGGTGAGAGAATTCACCAGAGCCAGAGCGGGGAGCAGAGCAGGCAGAAGGACCGAAGTACACTGCTGAGGGGAGCAGCGGGACCCTGGGAGCAGCCTGGGATCGAACTGGCGCTGCAGAGGCTGCGGGCAGCTTCCCAACCCAGCGCTCAACCGCTGAGCCATCGGGGAGGCCCCCTCAGAATTTCTTCATGCAAAGCTTGGGATGGCCAAGGAGCTGACAGGAAGGCTCTGTGGGGCTTGTCTTGAAACTTGAAATAGGGTTGTCTCAAAATAGGATTTTTATGGGGTTATTTTGGGGAGGAGCAAAGCTTTTAAAGACACCTTCCTGGAAACCACCCAGACTCCCTTGAGGGGGGGTGGAAGGGAACGACCTTTAATTCCCTGTGTTGAAGGCCACCTGGGTGCTTGGTTAACGCTCTCTTTCTCTGTTTCCCTCAAGCGCCCTGAGAAGCGGGGTAATAAATATAGCTCAGAGAGGCAAGGTCACTTGTCTGAGGCCACACAGCAGATGATTATAATAACAGCTACCTTAAAAAAAATCTGTGTCACTTCATTTGCAGGTGACACTACAGAGTATAAGTGTTGCCTGGAAAGGGACACAGAACATTTTTGGGGTTGGAAATGTTCTACGTCTTCCCCCCCACCCCAACAATGGTCTCACGTATTTATTACTGAGCCCCCTACAAAGAGGGCAAATAATTTCCTAATCAAGGAACCTCCCTGGTGGCCTAGGGGTTCAATCTCAGCGCTATCACTGCTGTGGCCTGAGTTAGATCCTTGGCCAGGGAGCTGACCCATAGGGCGCAGCAGACCTCTTGTGTCTCGCCCGCTGCTCCCCTCAGCAGTGTATTTCAGTGGATCCGCCTGTTCTGTTCCCCACTCTGTCTCTGGTGAATCCCATCACCCCCCACCTCTGGCCTGCACCCCAGCTCTTGTATGCATAAATAGAAATCTTTTTTTTTTTTTAAAGAAAACAGTTAATGGCTCAGGAAGCAGAGGTGAAGGAAAAAGCCCTATCTTGATTTCAGTGCTCACTATCATTTGTCATAACTCAGCACACGGTTCCCTTAAGATCGGGCATTTGTATTTTTCTTAAAAAAAAAAAAAATAAGCAAAGAAAGAATTTGTGCACCTCCCAGCTGTTCATTTTTCTGTGCGGCCTGCCAGATCTGTTTGAAATGCTTTGACCAAGAAAGATTTCTCACAGTCGTTTTATGAAGGATGTGAGGATAATTAAAAAAAAAACCAATCTCTTCAACTATTGTTGAAGCCCTTAGTATTCTGTCCTCGCTCTCTGAAAACAATGTGAATCGCACACCTCTCCTGCCTGTCCTGGTCTTCTAGGCAACAGACACAACAGTAAACAAACCAGACATGAAAATGACACTCAAGGGTCGGGGAGGGGTCAGATAACTAGAAGATAATAAGTGAAATACATAGAATACTCGACGGGGGGCCTCCCCGGTGGCTCAGCAGCTGAGCAACCCTGCGAAGCTGCCCACAGCCTCTGGGACACCGGTTCGGTCCTTCTGCCTGCTCTGCTCCCCGCTCTGGCTCTGGTGAATTCTCTCACCCTCCCGCGCTTCTGACTGTACCCAGTGCTTGTATAAATAAATAAATCTTAAAAAAAAAAAAAATACTCGACGGGAGACCTGTAATGGGCAAAGGAAATAAAGCAGGGAGGAAAGGAAGCGTGGTGGGGTTTTCAGACTTGATAGTATTGACAAGGTGGGGGAATATCCCCTCCACAAAGTGGGGGATGATATTGACAGAAGAGGAAACTGAGGCACGCAGGGGTCATCAGCCCAAGGTCTAGCCAGAGGTGGGGCTGGAAGTCCCAGCCCCGGACTCCTCCCTGGGGTGGTCCTGACCCTGGGAGCGGGGACTCAACAGATCCAGTTTGTTCTCTACCTGGGGGATGGTGAGGTGGAGGGAGCCAATGCAGTGACAGAAAGTTAACGAGGTGGGGCCTCCCCGGTGGCGGCGCAAGGGGTTAAGACACAACCAGTGAAGCTGTCCGCAGCCGCTGCAGCAGGAGGTCGATCCCCCGCCAGGAAGCAACCCACATGGCGCAGCAGACCTCTCCTGTCTCCCCGCTGCTCCCCTCAGCAAGGTATTTCCGTAGAGCTGCCTGTTCTGCTCCCCACTCTGTCTCTGATGAGTCCTCTCACCCTCCCCGCACCTCTGGCCTGCACCCCGTTCATATGTGCATAAATAAATAAATAAATATAAAAAAAAAGTTAAGGACTTAGGTTGGTGTCTGAGAAAGGACAGGCTCGGTCCCAGGAGAGCCTAAGGGGGACCTCGTTTGCCCCAGGCTGAGGGCCTGATCAAGTTGGAAATCGGGTAAGCAGAGGGGTTAGTGAAATGCAGCCGCCCGTCTAGGGGCTGGGTAGGATGGGGGGAGTGTTCCAGCAGCGGGGGACGCTCGCCGGCTCTGGGAGTCCAGTAGTGTGAAGGCCTAAAGGGGTTAAGGGGGCGCGACCATGAAGGGGTTAATGGGGGGCGGGACTGGCCTGGGCGGGGCCTCAGCTGGCGGCTCTCACCGGGGGGCCGGGAGGAGTCGCCGCCGGGTCCCTGCGCCGCCGTCGAGCGCAGACCCTGCAGCCGCCGAGAGAGCCGCCTGCGCCCGCCCCGTCCAGCCGCCGCGCAGGTAGGCGCCGCCCCCCGCCGGCCCCCGCCGCCCCCCGCCGCCCCGGCCCGCGCCCCGCACGGCCAGCGCGGGGTCCTCTCCTCTGCGCGCCCCCCGCAGCCCTGCCTCAGCCTCCCGCGCCGTCTCGGTTCCCGCCTCGCCTGCCCGGCTCTCGCTGCGCCCCGGCCCCCGCGGCCGCCTCGTCTCCCCACCCGTCTCGGAGGGTCGCCCCGGGGCGCTCTCCCTCGGGCGCGCCTCTGCCACATCCCCGCGCGCCTCTGCATCTCTCCCTCTCCTCTCCCCCGCGCCCGCCCGAGGCTCCCCGCCGCTGCCCCGCGGCCCCTCGCGGTCTCCCTGCCCCATCCGGCCCTGGTCTCGGTCTCCGCGCCTCTCTCCGCCTCGCCTCCCGTCTCTGGGCATCTCTCTGCCTTTTCCCTTCCTGTCTCTCAGCCCCGCGCCATGGCATCCCCAATCCGGGCACATCCCAGAGCTGCCCCCCCAAAGGCGCTGTGTGGGAAGTGGGTGCCCACAGTACGTGGCCGCCTCGGCAGGTGGACTCTGACACTGTGACCCCGGCGCCCCCTCACGGAGTCACCCCGCTGCTCCCGAGGTCGCACCCACCCCACCCTCCAATTTCAGGAATTCCTGCCTGGGGGGTGCACTTCCTCCGCGACTTCCTCCCTTCCAGGATCTGACTGGGTCGCTGTTAACTCCTCCCTGCCTCTCCTCACCCCTCTGCCGTGCCCTGGACATCCCCTGCCCCCCCCAGCCCCCCCAACCAGGCGGAGAGACAGTTCTGGAATTTCTGCGGGCTGGGCGCAGGGTCGGTGTTGTGCACTCACGCGTGGTGCGCCCAGGGAAGCAGGTGGAGACATGGGCCACCCCTCTGGCTACTGCCCCCCAGGACCCACCAGCAGGGCCCCCCACCCAGCTCTGCGGGCGTGAGGGAACTTGAATCCAGGTTTGGCTGAAGATGGGGAGGTTTTCCTTTCTGGTGGGGGGTTCCCTGTAGGAGAGGCGAGAGACCCCCAGGAGCGGAAGGTGGGGGCTCCTGAGGCTCTCATAATCAAGAACCCCTAAATGTGACTCAGGTGGGAGGACCCAGGTGGGCGGTGACCCGAAGGGCGAGCTGGCAACACCTGAGCATTCAAATCCAAGGCCCTTGGGCTCTTCGACGCCTTCCATCCTGCAAGATGAGTGTCGGAATCTCGGCAGTTTTCAGCTGGGAGCCCGAAAGGGGCTCCTGGGGCCCTGAGGCCACGCCCCCATTTTACAGCTGGAGAAACTGAGATCCCAGAGCTGCGCCCCCCTCCGAGAGTCCGCACCAGGCTGAGGGTTGCGACTCTAGTTCCCCAGAAGCCCAAATCCAGAGCCCTGACCGCTGCTGCCGCCACTCAGAGGGATTAACTTGGGGGAGGTTTTGGCAGGAAGGAGGGACGCATGCCGGGGAGAGCCTGCATGGCCGGGATCCAGGAGGGAGCCTTTTAAGAGCAGAGAAGAGAAAATATTTCGCAAATCCATGGTGGTGGGGAGGCCGAGGGGCCGAGAGAGCTGGTGTGCGTGGAAGAGGGGGAATTTCAGAGGGATGAGAAGGCGGGGCAGGGATGTCCAGGCTCCTCCCCCCAAGAAGCCCACTGCTCCCCGGGGACCGGGCCTGTAATTTGGTTTGTGTCTAGACAAATAATAACTCAGCTGGTGTGAGCAAGCCTGGAGGGAGGAGGCTCAGTCCTGCCGGCCCCCGGGGTGAGGAGGCAGCTGAGCAGCGGGTCCTTCCCAGGTGGGAGGCGTGAGGGACCCGGTGGAGGTGGGCACTGAGCGTTCTCAGGGTCCTGGGGCAATCTGATAACTTCAGGCTGCTGCCATGTTAAAAAAAAAAAAAAAAAAACCCAGAATAGATAAGGGGGGCAAAGGGACGTGGGGTTCACCCTATGGAGAGTATGTCCCCATTTCTGTGGCAAAGAAAAGGGAAATAGGTACTCCTGTTTGCTGGGCAAAGAAGAATAATCAGTGGCAGTTTAATAATAGATTAGGAAAGTCGCAGAATGTTTTAAAAAAACATCATAGAGCTTTCTAACAATAGAACTGTAGGATTGGGAATGCGACACTCCGAGGATATTGGAAACTTAGACGGCTGAGGGCATGGGCCGCGCCATGATGATAATAGGAAGAAGAAAGGCGCGCGCCCGCGTGTTCCAGAATAGCACAGTGTGCGGGGAGCTGGACATCGCCTCCCAGAAGGGCCCAGGCAGAGGCAGAGGGTAGAACTGGAGGAACATGGGCTCCCTTCCCAGTGGTGTGGGGGTGGCAGGGGCGGATGAGGATCCCTTCCGTAGAAAAGGGGAAACTGAGGCCCAGCGGGGTGACGGCTGTGTCCTGACTGGCCCTGGTTTCCGCTGCTGCCGGGGCACCAGGTGGGGAGCGAGGCGTGATCACATTTCGTCCCCTAATGAGCAGACCGGAGCTGGCTGGTCCCCAGGGCTGCCTGGGAGGAGGGGGTGGGAGCCCACAGAGGAGGGAAGAGCGGGAGAGAGGCGGCCCCTGGGCTTCCAGGACCAAGCTGGTGAGTGAGCCGAGGTGGTGGGGGGCGTGGGGGGCTACATGAACTCTCCCTCGTGTCCTCTTAACTCCCCAAATCCTTCAGCCTTGAGTTTAAGGGTGGCGAGCAGGCCTGGGGACTTACCTGGCCAGAGCAGCTGAGGCCTTGGGTGGGTGCTGGGACCCCACCGGTCCTTCCTGTTGCTCCCCTATAGCGCCACTCTGGGGGTTATCTCTTCTCTGGCCCTCTGGGAGGAGCCAGCAGGATCAAAGAGAGGGGTCTGTGGGACAGGGGGTACTTCTTGGGATTGTGAGATTTGGGGGTTGCCTCCCAACAAAGCCTGAGTAAGGGTCCTGATGGGGGTGGGAAGTGGATAAGGAGGTCAGGTGATGGGGGGCATGCCAGACACCTCGGTCACTTGCTCTTTTGTGGGGAGAAAAGGCTCTGTAGATCTCAGCATGTTCTCAAAGGGGGCTGCAGGGGGGCCTCCCCAGTGGCGCAAGGGGTTAAGACACAACCTATGAAGCTGTCCGCAGCAGCCTCTGCAGCACGAGTTCGATCCCCGGCCAGGGAGGTGACCCACATGGTGCAGCAGACCTCTCCTGTCTCGCCTGCTGCTCCCCTCAGCAGTGTAATTTTGTCAATCTGCCTGTTCTGTTCCCCATTCTGTCTCTGGTGAATCCTCTTACATCCCCCACCTTTAGCCTGTACTCCAGCTCTTGTATGCATAAATAAATAAATCTTTTTTAAAAAGGGGGGGTGGGCTGCAGGGAGGCAGGAGAGAGGGCATTCAGGGGAAGAGACATGATACAGTTACTAAAAAAAAATGAAAAATGACTGGGACATCTACCCAGTCTTGATTCCTCATGTGACTTAGACAACTGCCTTGCCTCTTCCAGCCTCAGTTTCCCCATCTTTTCCAGGAGAGGGTTGCACCCCCCAGACATTGCCCATACCCATGGGCCTATTGCATTGTGGAATTCTGAGAAGCTGACATTCCTGCTGCCTTTTGGGGTTGGATGGTGAGCAGATCTCAGTGTGGGAGAAGAGAGGCTTGTTTGGGTACCCCTCCCTCATGCTCAGACACTCCCCCCCAAATAGGTGAATTGAGGCAGAGGCAATGGTGAGCGCCCAACTGGTTCCCCTCCAGGAAATTAGCCTTGGGAAATGTATTTCCTCTGGCTGCCAGAAATAAGTGGACGTCTGTGTACCAGCCTCCGCTGAAGCCAAGGGGGCTGGGGGGGGGGGCAAGCTCCCAGTAGGCATTAGATCCTTTCTTTCTCTCTCTCTTTAAAATTTTTATTGAAGTAACATGGGCTGATGAACTGGTTCGTTCCTGCCTTAGCTCCCCAGTGCTTGTGGAATAATAATAATTATTCAAATCCTGCATATTTTATAAATGATTTCATGTTCCACCGAGGATTTTCACATCCACGGTGTGACTAGTGTCAAGGCTGCGTCCACCCCTCGCCCCTTATACAGAAGGGAAAACTGGGGTTCCTGAGGAGGTAATTCCAGTGTTCCAGAAGGAAGGAGAGCAGGGTAGGGCAGAGAGGGAGAGACTGCAGGTCAGAGGGGAGGGGTGAGAGGGGTTTGGAATGACTCGGTCTGGGTGGGGGTTTCAGTTCCAAGTGGGGAGTACCTGGACCCCACGGTTCCAAGGAAGCAAGCTTCCTCCATCCCAGCTCCCCAGGATCTGGGACTGTCTGGGAGTCTTCACTGAGGAGCCGCAGCGGGGAGGCCTTCCTAAGCAGGACTGAGCCTTGACCTTTCAAAGTCAATTATGCAGCGGAGAGATCCTGCCCTTCTGGATTTTTCCCTCCCTACCTCTTTTCCTGGGATCCCACTGGGACTTGTTTGAACTTGAAGTGGGGGTGGTGCCACCTCAAGGTGAGGGAGCATCAGCTAGGATGGGCCGCCCAATACGTGTTCCTACAGTCCACAGTCATTTATTGGGCGCCTGTTGTATGCTGGGGCTGTCCTGGGTGCTGGGGGTATAGCAGAAAGCCCCTGTTTTGGAGCGCTCTTTTTTTTTTTTTTATTTTAAATGTATTTATTTTCCTACACCATTGTTCATTTTTGTGCAATACTTGATTCTCCTGGAGTGCTCATTCGAGGCAGACAGACAGACACAACTGGACAGAATATAAATTGATGTAAGGGGGGGATGCCGGACTCTCGGTCCTCCTGAGGAGGGAGCTGATCCTAACTAGGTAGAGGCTACTTTAAGGGCACAACTATTTTTTTAAGATTTATTTTATTTATTTATGCATACAGCAACTGGGGTAGAGGGCCTCCCTGGTGGCACAAGTGGTTAAGACACACCCTATGAAGCTGTCCACAGCCACTGCAGCACGAGTTCGATCCCCAGCCAGGGAGCTACCCACATGGCGCAGCAGACCTCTCCTGTCTCCTCGCTGCTCCCCTCAGCAGTGTGTTTCAGTCGATCTGCCTGTTCTGTTCCCCGCTCTGTCTCTGGTGAATCCTCTCACCCCCCACACCTCTGGCCTGTACCCCAGTTCTTGTCTGCATAAATAAATGTTAAAAAAATAAGACCTGGGGTATAGGGACAGCCTCACAGCGCTGCGCTCAACCTGCTGCGCCACTGGGGAGGCCCTCTCTGTCTGGGCTTTGCCCAGGTCTGTCCTTTGCCCCACACTTGTAGGTCCGCCCAGCACTGGGGGAGGAGGGCCAAGCCCAAGTCTCTCATTGCAAGTTGGAGGTGTGGGAGGAAGCAAGGAAGTAAGAGGTCCCCAGGGCAGGGACTGCAGACACTGACCCCAGGGCTCCACCTTTCTCCCCGGACCTTGATCCAGTCCAGCCTCCCCGCCCCTCCTCATCCTTTCCCCCAGCCCTCTGCAGCCTTCCAGACTCTCACCCCCATCAGCCCAGGGCCCGTTTTTCTAGTTGCTTCTGGGTGGAAACTGGAGCTCAGGCTGGGGACAGGGGTGAGAGCGAGGATTTCCCCGCTGCCATCATCAGGACCTTGGACAGGTCTCCGAACCTGCTTGTGCCTCAGTTTGTCGGGTGGGGAGAGTAACAGAGATGAACGCGCGAAGTTTGGGAACAGTTAATAACTGAATACTCGTTAAAGTGCCGAGAACAGGACCTGCTATTTAAGTAAGACTCACTCTCCAGCTGTTACTGCCATCATCTTCCTTGCCTAGAGCCGGGTCCCCTGCGTTTGGAGGCGGGTCCCGGCCCCCTTCGGTCTAGCTATGCTCCCCTAGCTAGCTGGGTGCCGTCGAGGGGAGTAACCCAACCTCGCTGAACCGTGTCTGTGAAAGACTAGTTCAGCTTTTTCTGTAGCATGAACTTTGTATCAGTTTTTTTTATTTAACTGGTTATTTTATTTTATTTTTTAATAATAAATTTTATTTTTATATTCCCCATACAATTGCAACCCCCTTATTTTACTTTGTATCAGTTTTACCTGGTTTCCGGAAGAAAGTTCTAGAATTCTGGCAGGATCTTTAACATCTACTGGGTGAGAACATATCTGGCACCTCAAGTCAGTGTTGTCAGAGATCTGTTGTTTAGATCTGTTGTCTCAGGCATCATTGGGGTGTCAGTCCTCTGCAATCCCAGGGATTATGGACAGGGGTGTAGGGAGAAGGGGGTGTCTGTGGCTCCCCTCACTGAGGTTCTCTCTCCCCACAGGCACGGCAAAGTCAGCTTTGAAATGTGCTGTGAGGTGGGGCTACCTTACCCCAACTGCTCAGCTCCCCCACAGAACCAAGTCAGAACCCTTCTGCCGACCCTTCAACGCCCCCCCATTCAAACTCCCCCTCCATCCATAATGCTTCCCTGATCCAGCCTTTGCTCACCTCCTTCCTGTTTCTTAGAAACCTTTCCTGAATTTCCCAGACTGAGCCCTTCCCCTCTGCCCACCCCCCTCCCCGCCCCCAGGACACCTCCTTTTCTACCATCTTCTCATGGGTTACCTTTCTTATTTCCTTATTTCCTGCAGGGATGTCGGCACCCCCATTCCCATTACCTGATATTTTTAACACTCCCTAACTAGTCTGTTCCCCCTCAACCCCTAGATTGACATCAAGGGACGTCCCTTCCATATATTTCCTGCCTTCTAGCACATTCCACCCCACCGTTATTTCAGCATAACCACACTTACTTCCTACATCCTGTACCAAAACCTCTCCCACCAGCACCCCCTGACTCTGTCCTCTCCTCTCTAAGGCTCTCCACCGTTAATGTTTGGCCAATTTTCATGCTATCCAATGCTCTCTCATTTACATTCTGATCTGATTGATTGGGTCTATAAAAACCCCCTTGACAAATATCTTTGTTAATCCCACCCCCCCCCCAACCCTCCCTCCTGTTGTAACTTTATTCCTCCTCCAGCTCTCCCCTCTGGAGCTCTGCCCTTCCCCGCCCAGCCTCAAGGTCAGTGTCACCTCTGCTCTGCGACCGCCTCCTACCATGTTCCCCTGAGCACCCCCTTGGGGGCTCAGGGGCCGATGGCTTCCCGCGCCCTGCAGCCCCACAGCCCCCGTGGGCCAGGGGAAGAGCCTCCGAGGCCCAGATGCCGAGGATGGGCAACCGCACGTGGGAGGGCTGTCACGTGGACTCTCGGGTGGACCACCTCTTCCCGCCCTCCCTCTACATCTTCGTCATCGGCGTGGGGCTGCCCGCCAACTGCCTGGCGCTGTGGGCCGCCTACCGCCAGGTGCGGCAGCGCAACGAGCTGGGCGTGTACCTGATGAACCTGAGCGTGGCGGACCTGCTGTACATCTGCGCGCTGCCCCTGTGGGCCGGCTACTTCCTGCACCACGACAACTGGGCGCACGGCCCCGGCGCCTGCAAGCTCTTCGGCTTCGTCTTCTACACCAACATCTACATCAGCATCGCCTTCCTGTGCTGCATCTCGGTGGACCGCTACCTGGCCGTGGCCCACCCGCTGCGCTTCGCCCGCCTGCGCCGCGTCAAGACCGCCGTGGCCGTGAGCTCGGTGGTTTGGGCCACGGAGCTGGGCGCTAACTCGGCTCCCCTGTTCCACGACGAGCTCTTCCTGGACCGCTACAACCACACCTTCTGCTTCGAGAAGTTCCCCATGGAGGGCTGGGTGGCCTGGATGAACCTCTACCGGGTCTTCGTGGGCTTCCTCTTCCCCTGGGCGCTCATGCTGCTGTCCTACCGCGGCATCCTGCGCGCCGTGCGCGGCAGCGTGTCCACCGAGCGCCAGGAGAAGGCCAAGATCAAGCGGCTGGCCCTCAGCCTCATCGCCATCGTGCTGGTCTGCTTCGCTCCGTACCATGTGCTCCTGCTCTGGCGCAGCGCCGTCTACCTGGGCCGGCCCTGGGACTGTGGCTTCGAGGAGCGGGTCTTCTCAGCCTACCACAGCTCGCTGGCCTTCACCAGCCTCAACTGCGTGGCGGACCCCATCCTCTACTGTCTTGTCAATGAGGGCGCGCGCAGCGACGTGGCCAAGGCCCTGCACAACCTCCTCCGCTTCCTGGCCAGTGACAAGCCCCAGGAGATGGCCAACGCCTCCCTCACCCTGGAGACCCCGCTCACTTCCAAGAGGAACAGCGTGGCCAAGGCCGTGGCTGCCGCCTGGGTGGCGGCCCCTCCCGCCCAGGGGGACCAGGTGCAGCTGAAGATGCTGCCACCCGCACAGTGAACCCCCGCTCTACCCCACCACTCCTGGTCTGGTGTATGTAAATTGTGTATAAATAAGACCATGTTAATATTCATAAGAATAGAAACAAGACAACCATGAGGATGGTGTGTGGTTGTTGGTCAGCCATCATCCTCGACCGTGACCCCCTAACAATCCAGTTCAGCTGTGACTGGTCCTGTGCTGGGTGGTGGTAGTGACATAGTGGTGACCAATGACAGCTCTAGCCTCATGGGTTCCTACTCCTTTGGAGGAGAAGGAGCTAGACCCAGACAGTGATGACCCAGAATGAGCAAAGCTCTCACAGGGGAGCCCAGGAGTTGGGGAAACCCATGAGGGCATCTAGCTCAGCCTGGGAGTCAGGGAGGGCTTCCTGGTGGAGGTGACCAGCAAATGAAGTCATTTGGTTTCCAAGGTATCGACAAGAAGAAAAAAGTTAAGGTTATTTCCAGTGAGGAGGTGAAAATCTGATTCGAGGGGAAGGTGGAAGGAGAAATTCAGAGTGTAGCGTGATCATTTTTGCCCTTGATCATGCAAGGGCTGAGAAAGCACACGAGAGCAATTCTGAGTTTTCAATAAACAGCATTGTCCAGGTCAGAATGGAGGATGTCAGAGCTCAAGGGAAGGGCGTCGGGCAGACTGGCAGGAGGAGCAGTGAGCAGGGCAGGCTTGGGAAGGGGCCTTGGGACAAGAGGAGGGTCTTCATTCACTCAGCAGCCTTTGATTTATACCTACTCTCTCCCAGACCTTGGGGACCAGCTCAAAAAACAAGGGTTGTGGCCAAGTCATCTCAGGCCCCACCCTCAGGAAGCTCTCAGTAAGTGAGTAAATAAAAAATACAATGTTTGGAATTGATAAGCATAATCAATATTACACTTATGCATCAGGAAAATAAAGCCAATCGAGGAGGGACAGAGAGTGACATGGAGTCTGATCTAGATACGGTCAGGGCAGGGGGGCTTACCGAGGAGGTGGCATCTGAGTGAAGACCTGGAGGAGGTGAGGGGATCAGCACTGTGGGGGTCAGGGGAAAGACAGAAGGAACAGCAAGTGCAGAGGCCCTGGGGTAAGAGAGTGCCTGGGGGTGGGCAGAGGGATGGGAGATGAGGAGGGGGTGAGGCTGTGTAACTTGGACGAGGACTTTGCCTTTAGTGTTGAGATAAATGGGAGTAAGGAGGTGTTCTTAGCAGAGGGTTGTGATTTGGCTCGATGAACCCTGAGTGATGGCTGCTGAGTGGGGACCAGAACACGGGAAGTAAGAGCAGAACTTGGGAGCCCAGTGAGGAAACCACTGCGGTGGTCCAGCTGGGGGACAGTCAGGCAGCTGGACCTGAGTGAGAGGTGGGCAGTTTGGGGATTTATCTGGAAGGGATGTTATGATAGAAGAAGCACAAGGGCCTGTGGAATTGTGTAACATGAGCCCCTCGCCCATCCTGGGAAAAGGGTGACCAGGGGGCCTAAACTGGAAGGACCTCGGGAATGATCCCAGGCCCTGTTCCAGGGGGTCACCAGAGAGGCCAAGGGACTGGGTCAGGGTCACACGGCCGGTGAGTCAGCACTGGGGCCATCCTGGACTCCCTCTTCCCTCCCCATGTCTGCCTCCGTTCCCACGCCCACATGGCCAAGGCAGCCTGCCCTGGCAAATGGTGTCCCCCTCCGTCCCCGGAGCCTCAGGGTCACCAGGAAGGGCCATCTTTCCATAAGCAGGCTTGAGAGTAGGAGGAAGTGCCAGTTCTGGACAGACCTCACTCCTTCTGGTAGGCCACCTCCCTCATTTCCTCCCTGGAGTGTCTAACAGACTCCAAGCTTTGCTAATGAGGATCCCTACACACACACACACACACACACACACACACCCTTGCCCCCGAAGTTCCCAGAACACACAGACACACCCTTACCCCCGAAGTTCCCAGAAGAGTTCCTGGAAACCCTTCGGAGAAAGGAAGAGGAGGGAGAAGGGGAATAAGAAAAAAAAAAAAAAAGAACGTAATAAGAATAGTTTTGCAGGATAGGGATGTGGTTATGGAGATACAGGAAGTTGGGGTTTTGGTGTTGGGGGAAAGGTAAGAGGGACACCTGAGATCTAGGAATTCTAGGAATTTCCCTTCCCTGTCTCACCACCATAAAGCTACAGTGATGGAGAAGTAGGGGAGCAGGCCCTTTTTGAATCAGCCCCCTCCCTCGGGGAATCAGAGCAAAGCCTGCACACTACCTCTCCATCAAAAGTTTATCCCCAGTCAGTCAATAAATATTTATTGAGCACCTACTGTGTTCCAGGCACTGTTCAAGGAGCTAAAGAAACAACAGTGAATTCTATAGAAAATAAGTCATGTTGTTTGAAGTTTGCTAAATAATCATAGGGGAACTCAGCAGCTTCCCCCCAACCCCCAACCTGTAGTAGGTCCTTGGGCTCCAAACTAACAACCCCCAGGTTTAGGAGAAGAGTCCAGGTTAGGACTCAAGAAATCTCGGCCTCAGCTCCATACTGATTTTCTCTAGAACTCTGGATGAATCCTTTTCACCCTTGGCCAGTCTGTTCAGTGGGGAGAGGGTTGGTCCCAAGTAAATGATGGACCTGGAAAGGCACCAGGCTCCTTCCTCCCTCACATCTGGATAGGGATGCTGGAAAGGATTGTTTTGCTTTGTTTTGTTTTTCAAAGATTTTATTTATTTATTGCATAGAAGAACTGAGGTATAGGCCAGAGATTGTGTGTGTGTGTGTGTGTGTGTGTGTGTGTGAAAGAGAGAGAGAGAGAGAGAGAGAGAGAGAGAGAGAGAGAGAGAGAGAGAGGATTCATCTGAGACAGAATGGGGGGGAGCAGAACAGGCAGATCTACTGAAATACACTGCAGCGGGGGAGAGAGGAGAGGTCTGCTGCGCCATATGTGGGCCAGCTCCCCGGCCAGGGATTGAACTCAGGTAGCCGCAGTGGGAAGGGATTGTTGTTATAGACTCTTAGCATCCTCAGTCATGGAGAGTATCTGGGTTCAAGCATGCCAGTGCCATTATTATTATGGTGGAGAAACGGAGGTCCCTCTGTGCCCAGGACTTGAGAGAGGATGCTCAGGGAGTCGGAGTGGATGTGGGGGGAAAGGCTTGGGTCCCCAGACTGTCCCCTGCATCTGTTTCCTCCTCCACACCACTCTTCTGCTCTATTGTCTTCCTTTCTCCCTTTCTCCCCATCAGCACTCCACCACCCAGGAATTTCTCTCAACCCTTTCCGGACTTTGTTTATATGATTTTGCTCCCTGCTGGGTAAAGGAGGACAGTCTGGGATGTGTCCTTAAACTGCTTCGGGAGCCAGCTCCCTGGGGACCCTCACCCCCCTAGTGGTGGAATTGGGGCTGCTTGAGAACGGGTATAGTTTTATTAGCTAAGATGCTGCCTGATCAGTGTTTGCTGGCTGAGGGAACTTGTGCCAGCCCGTCCCGTCACTAACAGCCCGTCCCGTTTCTTTGTCATTTACTTGGAATTAGCTGCTTCTGGAGGGGACGTGCACCCTCATGTTGGAGTTAGCAATAAACATGCTAATACCCTATGTAGTAATGGACTGTTTAATTGAGTGTTTACTATGTGACGGGCATCATTCTAAGCACTGAACAAGGTTCATTCACAGTTTCACATTCAAGACTCGCATGCGAGCTCACAACATGCCTCATAGTAGGTGCTATTATGAGTCCCATTTTGTAGGTGGACATATTGGTGACCAGAGAAGTTACGTCACTTGGCTAATATCACACAGCACGTAAATGCTGCTGGGATCCCAACCAGGCCTGTGTGACTACAAAGCTCTAACCTGCGGGGGAAGTGTATTTGGGATTTATTTGTCCTAATTAGGACTAATTAAGAGCCTCTTATGGGTGGAGCAGCCACCTAGGTACGTGACGTCACGGAGGGGCCGGTGACATCAGCCGGGGCAGGCGTGGGAACCCATTCACCGTCCCCCAGCAGACGTTTAACGGCTCCGCCCTCTGACCGCCTCACTTCCGCCATAATTTGCATATTCAGCAAACGGGCGACCAGGCGCCAGCGTCGACGCGGTGACGTCAGGGGCGCCCCGACAGTTTCCCCGCCCCAGCGGACGCACGTACGCACGCACGCACGCACGCAAGGCGACGGGCAGTCGGGGGAGGAGGGAGCTTCGGCGGCGCCCCGCCCTGTCAGCAAGGTTGCGCGTGCCCCCGTGCGACCGCCAAGATGGTGGTGGGCGCGTTCCCTATGGCGAAGCTGCTATACCTGGGCATCCGGCAGGTCAGCAAGCCTCTTGCCAACCGCATTAAGGAAGCCGCCCGCCGCAGCGAGTTCTTCAAGACCTATATCTGCCTCCCGCCGGCTCAGCGTGAGTCTGACCCCACGTCCCTCCAACCTTTCCTCCTTCCAACCCCTCTCAGGTGGTTGCTGAGGGGACCCTGTTTTCGACCAATCAAGGCCCGAACCGGCCAAGGCCTGCAGCCAATAAGGAGGGCTCCTGGGAGAGGGGCATGTGGATGGCCCAATGGTGAGATCGGGCGTGAGTAAGGGGCGGGGTAGGGCGCCGGCGCCCGAGTTGAGAATATCAGCCAATAAGGAAAAGAGCGCGTAGAGATTGACGTCTCGCTGAGCCTATAAGTTGAGGGACAGGCGCAATGTGGGCGGGGTTTTCCAGAACTGCGAGGACCAGAAGGGGTCCGTAGGCAGACTTTGCGTGGGTGGCTTTGCTTTCGAGACGCCACCGCTGGCCTCAGTTTCCCTCCTGTCCCAGGAAACGGGAGGTCCTTGTATATCATCTGTTTAGGGTGTCGGTTTGCTCCAGTTTCACTCCGGGAAATAGGCCTGACTTAGGGGCGTGACTCGGGCAAAGTCTGGGGTCAGGACACAGTCTGGGAATCTGGCAAAGGGGTAATTTTAACGAGTTAAATTTTAGCTGGACATTCATCCATTCACTAATCCACTCACACACACACATTATTAGGTCATTTATTCAGGCCGTTTTGACCTGCCATGTGACCGGGCATTTTTAACCCAGAATAGTCAGAGTGGAGGTCCTGCCCTGCCTCACCCCGGGACCCGGGTCAGGAAGGCTGTCTAGAGGAGGCCGCCCGAGCTCAGTCCTGAAGGACACAGGAAACTCAAAAGATGAGCTGTTTTTAAAAAATAAATTAAATAAATAAGATGAGCTGTTTTTGCTGTAGGTCTGTGGGAGCTTAGAATAAGGACATTTAACATAATTTGCTGGGTCTGGGAACCCCCGTCCATCTCTCCATCCATCTACTATTTTGTTTAGCTAGTATTTTCTGAGCTGCTGCTCTGTGCTTGACCTTGTTCTGGGCAGTGCTGGTGAACCAGCAGGGACCAAGCCAGCCCCAGTCTGTGCCCTCGGGGAACTCACAGTTCAGAGGGGACAGACCCATCCTGCCAGAGTGATGATCCAGAGTTTACAGAGCTGGGATGGGGGAGTCCACTGAAAGCCTGACCTGGTGTGGGGTTCAGGGAGGGCTTCCTGGCAAAGGTAACCTCAGGACTGGGAGCTGAAGGGTGAGGGAGCCTCACAGACCGACAGAGACAGGGATGATATTGAGGGAGAGAAGCGTATGCCAGGGCCAAATCAAGGTGAACACAACTTTTTTCCTTATAAGTTTGGGTGGTTAAAGTTTGCTTTCCAGGGTCACAGATTCTTGGCCTTTTGGTGTTTGGTGGGGCCTCTGCCAGAGCTGCAGCTGTTTGAATGCAAAGTGCTTTCATAGCAGCTATCCTTTGACCCTCTCTGTTTTTTTTCCTTCCTATGACTAGTCAAGTCATTTATTTAAGCCACTTCCTGCCGTGAGCGGGGAGGCAAGCTTACTGGTCGGCACTTGTAGGTGTAAAGAAGGAGAGTTTCAGGTCCTGAACACTTTTGTGGTCCATGTGCTCTCGTGGGCCAAGCCAGTGCTATGGTCCCAGTGCTTAGGTGGCTGCCCAGGTTCTCTATACTCAACTTCATTGCCATGGGCGGTGGGTTCACAGGAGCCTGGTGGACTAGAGTGTGGTTACCATCTGCCCAGTGGAAGGCTTAGCCTGATGTGGAGGTGGGGAAGGGGATGAACTAGGGTCTTTGTTCTCCATATTTCCACTTCAGGGAGACACACAGCGTGCTCCCTCCCTCCCAGGGAGTGTGATCAAGTTGGGGAGGCCTTCCACCTGAGAGCCGTGCCCTCTTCATGTGGGAGCCACTGGACGTGCTCTGCCCAGTTGTGGCCAGGCCCGGCCTGGCAGCCTAGAAATCTAAGACCCTGCCTCTGCTGCAGCTGGCCCTCTGTTTTACAACCGTGTCGGGGAGGGAATATTACTTTCCTGAGTTTATAGAAAAGAAAAATGAGGTTTGAGAGCAGAACTGCTGAGGTGAGACAAGGAGGTTAGACATAAGTCCTGGACTGTGGGTTCCCAGAGCCTGTCTCTGCTTCTGCCTTCCTCCCGAACACTGATATGGTGTAGAGCGTGGCTGCTGCTGCTGCTTTTTCTTTTTCTTTTTTTTTAAGAATTATTTATTGGGCCTTGCAGCTTGAGCGCTGGGTTGCGAAAGCAATCTGATACATGGTGTAGCAGCTTCGCTTCTGCCTGCTGCTGCTCTGCTCTGGTGAATTCTCTTTTCTGACTGTTGCATGTATTAAATTTTTCTATAGTTTAAAAAAAGAATTATTTATTTATACAAGCACTGGGTACAGTCAGAAGCGTGGGAGGGCGAGAGAATTCACCAGAGCCAGAGCAGGGAGCAGAACAGGCAGACTGACGAAGTACACTGCTGAGGGGAGCAGCGGGAGGCAGGAGAGGTCTGTGCGCCATGTGGGACCCTCCTCTGGTGGCCGGGGAGCAGCCGGGGATTGAACTGGCGCTGCAGAAGCCGCTGGCAGCCTCTCAACCCAGCGCTCAACTGCTGCGCCACCGGGGAGGCCCTGCTTTTTTTTTTTAAAGCTTTATTTATTTATGCATACAGAACTGGGGTACAGAGCAGAGGTGTGTGTGTGGGTGAGAGGATTCACCAGAGACAGAGTGGGGAGCAGAACAGGCAGACTGACTGACATACACTGCTGAGGGGAGCAGCGGGCAAGACAGGAGAGGTCTGCTGCGCCATATGGATTGCTCCCTGGCCGGCCGGGGATTGAACTCATGCTGCAGTTCGGGATGGAACTCGTGCTGCAGAGGCTGCGGATTGCTTCATAGGTTGCGTGTTAACCCCTTGCACCACCAGGGAGGCCCAGTGGAGTGTGGCTTCTTGAGTCTTACAGACAAGTCCCCAGCACCATGGCCTTGGGGCAGTCACTTAGCCCCTCTGAGCTTCCTTTCCTGTCTGTGCAGCGGGCACTAACAGCAGCTTTACTGTGCCAGGCAGTGTGCTGAGCACCTCACAGGCCTCCCCGTGAAATCCTCCCCAGATATTAACAGACGCTGTTTATTCCCACTTCGTGTGTACACCGTGTATGCACTTGGCCCGTAAGTGATGCTTAACTGTGTTGGTGCGAGGAGGAAATGGACATGACATGTGAAGTCTGTGCCTGGCAGTTGTGTAGAAGTTGTGGATACAGCATAGAAGAAAGTGTTATAGAGCAACCCCGATATTAAACGGGTTCCTGGCTGTGGGTCCTCACCCGCGCGCTTAAAAGGGACTTATGAATACTCCACTACAGGCACACACAAAAGGGTTAATAAAAGGTTTATTTACAAGAGAAAAGGAAATAAGGAAAATGTACAACTCAGGGAGAAAATAGGGAAATAAAGTCTTTAATGCGTCCTACCCGATCCGCCGACCTGGAAACCCAAAGTCACTCTCCGAGCTGGCTGGAGAGCCAAAATGGGGGATCCCCAAAGCCCACGTGTCTGCCTTTTGTATCCACCTGGCTGCTTAACCCCACCCTCAGGTCCCAGACACCTTCCCTTGGGTGGTGATGGGATTTGGAGTTCCCAGTGTCTTTGGCTTTGACCTGGGGTGGGGGTGGAGTCCACAAAGCCTATATGGAATTTGCTTTGGGACATCCTTTTCCCCCTAACAAAAGGACCTCACATCCTTAGGGGTGTGTGTGTAGAAAGTCAGACAAGCAAAATAAAGTTAAAAATGAAGTATGTTAGATAGCAGCGACAGCTCTGGCAGAACATCAGGGGGGCCGAGGGAGTATCTGGAGGCCAGTTGTAAGCTGAGATAGGATTATTAGGGAGATCTCGCTGAAAATACAAGGAGAGGAGGAGGCAAGCACTTATGGGGGGGTGAGCTTTCTGCATGTGAGGTGAGAGAGAGCCTGACATGTTTGGCAGCCACCGAGGAGACCCATGTGACTGAGCAGAGACTGCATGGAGGCCGCGGGCAGGTGGCGCGGGGCCTGTGGGCTGCTGCGGGAGCCTCCTTTACACTGGGTGGGTGGACTCGCTGGAGGGCCCGGGCCGGGCAGGGGACAGGACCTGAGCTTTATCAGACTCCTGTGATAATGACTGGCAGAGGAACTAGGGGCGTGCTCTGGCATTTGGTGACTTTGCCAGGACGGTACTGAAAGGTGTCACCGAGTTTGGAATCATGGCAGAAGGAAGAATCACTCAGATCAGATTTGGCTGAAGGGAAGTCATCCAACGAGGCTGGTTCCTGGAGGAGAAGGCTCTGCCGTGTGAATGGGCTGATGCGACTGCGGCTCCGTTCTGTCTCCTCTTGTAATGACAACAAAATAGACAATTTTTTTTAACCTTTTAACATTTGCATTTCCTGAAGGAAGCTGTTTGCCATGAATGGGAAATGAAAATGCTGCCTAAGTGCCCATTTTTGTAAGTTAATCATGATTATCTTGGGAAAAGAACAGTTTGTTCTTTGTAGACTGAAACGAAGGTGTTTTTGGTTAAAATTTTTTAATGTGAAATCCTCTGAAAGTTGAAATTGTACACGAGTTGGCAGCTACAGAGCCCTCCCTGCCTGGTTCATCAGGTTTGCTTTGCCTTCTCATATACGTATCTGTAGATGTAGAGACACTCCCTTTTCTTCCCGGAACAATTTGAAAGTAAGTTGTGGACATAACACTTCACCCCCAGATATGTTATCCCCGCATCTCCCGAGAACAGAAGCATTCTGTTCAACGCAGAGACAGGCACCATCGATAAAAAAAGCATTGATAACAGTGTTATATAATATGCAGCTCATGTTCTGCCTTCCCCAAATTTGTCCTCTAAATGTCCTTTATACTGTTTATCATCATCATCATCATCATCTTTTTTTTTTTTATAATTTCTTTTTTTAAAAAGATTTATTTGTGCATACAAGGACTGGGGTACAGGCCAGAGGTATAGTGGGTGAGAAGATTCACCAGAGACAGAGTGGGGAGCAGAACAGGAGGATCTACCCAAATAAAA